CGCCCTTGGTAGAGTGCTGTGGTGTCATAGCTCACAGAAACCTCAAACTCTTGGGCTTAAGCAATTCTCTTGCCTCAGCCTCCTAAGTAGCTGGGATTATGGTCACTTGCCACAGTGCCTGGCTATTTTTTGTTGTAGTTGTCGTTGTTGTTTAGCAGGCCGGGGCCAGGTTATGTGTATGTGGCCAGTGCCCTAACCACTGAGCTACAGGTGCCAAGCCTAAAAGAGACACTTTTTCAAGGAAGATATACAAAGGGCCAATAAACACATGAAAAGATGCTCAATGCCACTAATACTTAGGGATATGGAAATCAAAACCACAATGGCGTGTGACTTCACATATATTAGAATGGCTTTGATAAAAGAAAAGAAAACTCAAAACTTTGAGAAAGTGGGAAAATCGAAACTCTTGTGCATTGCTGATGAGAATGTAAAATGGTACCACCACTGTGGAAAATGATACAGAAATTCTTCAAAAAAATTAAACAAAGGATTACCATGTGATCCAGAAATTCCACTTCTGGCCAAATATTCAAACTAATTGAAAGCAAGAATTCAAACAGTATTGGTACATCCACGTTCACAGCGCTATTATTCACAATAGACAAATTTTGTAAACAACTCAAAAGTCCGTCTGAAGATAGGTAAGTAGTCAAAATGAGATATATCTGTACAATGGAATGTTCCTCAGTCTTAACAAGGAATACAATGTTGATACATGCTACAGTTATGGTAAGTAAAATGAGACAGGCACAAAGGACATGTATTGTATGCTTCCCTTTATATGAGGTACTTCGAATAGTTGACTATATAGAGACAGAAAGTAGGATGGGGCCCAGGGACTCTGGGGAGGAGTAGAGAATTATCATTTAGTGTGAACAGAAGTTTAACATGGTGAAATGAAAAGTTCTGGAAATGAATAGCAGTGATAGTTGCAAAACACTATAAATGTACTTAATAGCATAGAACTGTCCACTTAAAAATGGTTAAGATGCTAAATTATGGCATGTATATTTAATCACTGTATATACTCTATAGACACTGGTACCCTAACCATCTCTGTAAATACCCATCCCACCCCAGATGAAGTCAGAGCACAGCTGGTCACCAGGCAAACTGGGAACAGAGCAGGAAGCAGAGAGCTCATATGTTCATCCCTCTTCTGAGTGGGTTTCCTCCTCTCATTTGAGGAAAAAATAATGTGAGCCTATTTCAAAACTGCCTATGTTCCTTGTAGCTCATAGAGGAATTATAGGAGGAAAAAAAAAAAGAAAGGGATGGGTTAGTGATAGAGAAAAACCACTTGAGGTTGGACACCCTCCCTCTGTGAAGCCCCCCCAACTAGCTGGGGCTCTCTGGGGCCGAGGGAAGGTCCTCCTCACATTCTAGGCTGGACCCAAGGTCAATGGCCAGAAACCCTAGAAGCCAGGGGAAGAGAGAGTCTGCGGACACACAGTGGGAGGGCTCAGGGCAGAACCTGGGATTTGCCTGTGCCCAGGACACAGGCTGGGAAGGGAAATTGCTGCTCAACTGTTCTCGGAAACCCCACGAGAGTCCACCCTAAAACTTTCTGCTAATGCTGCATCTATCTACTTACCCGAGACTGTGATTTTCTTGACTGCGGTCACACTGAGGCCTGTGGCTGAGTTATGGGCACGGCAGGCGTAGGATCCGCTATCCTTTGTAGTGATTCCGGGGATAAAGAGCACTTGTGTGTCTCGCCGTGACCTCTCATTGATAAGCCAAGAATAGTTTGCAGGTGGGTTTGAGTCTGCGTGGCAGGAGAGGTTGAGGTTTGCCCCCGAAATGTAAGATGACTCTGGAGGGGAAATGGTGGGGGTGTCGGGGCCATCTGGACAAAGAGAATAAAGCCATATGTGATGTCAGCAGAAGGAAGGGGAAACTTCCTCCGTTGAAGGACCACAGTTTCTCTCTGAGCTATGTCCCAACCCTTGCAAAAAATTCCCACCCATACCATCTGTGCTCACTGGGCCTGTGGGAGACATTCACCTGTTTCACCCATCAAGGGTTATTGACCCCAAGCCTTGCACGCTCCTATTCTTGCTTAAGGCTGGGCCAGATTGAGTTTGCCAGCAGAAGGAAGTCATGGCCAGCCTAGGTGGCCAGGAGTGAGGGTCTGTGTACTGGAACCTGATAGGAATTGAGTGGCCTGGGTCTGGTCATGTGGATTTGGATTGGCAGCCTGAGCCACGGAGGAATAGAGATACTCACAGAGAACATTCAGGGTGAAGGGGTCACTGCTCTTGGCACTCACTGGGTTCCGTGTTTCACACACAAAGGGTCCTGAGTCAGACCTAGTGACACTGAGTAAAGTGAGAGTGCTGTTATCCGGGGACAGCTGCAGCCTGGGACTGACTGGGAGGTTCTGATTGTTTAGCCACCACAGGTAGGTCACATTCTGAGCTGCTGGTTCACAGGTTAATGCCACAGAGTCTTTGTTTTCCACGGGGTTGGAGTTGTTGCTTGTGATGAAGGGTCTGGGTAACTCCGCTGTGGAGGTAACAGAGAAGGTTGCCCTGAGTGGTGCCTTTGATTCCTCCAATGGCGTCTTTCAATTTGAGATGGCATCTCTCACCTCTCAGCCAACCAAGTCTTTAAAAGGCCAAGGCAGGTGTGTGTGGGCACATAAGACAGATGTGCGCTGGTCTGAGGGTCAGGGAATGTGATGGAGCCTGCTCCATCTGTTGTTGTCTGGGCAACTCACAGACTTTCTCAAGTATGAATTAAGCCCCAGCTTTAGGTTGTGGACAGACACAGGACTGGGAGTCAGACATTCCCTGGCGCCTCTCCTGGCCCTTCCCTGGCCTCTGACTGCCTGAGTATCCTCAGGACATGTGGGTGCTGAGTCCCTTCCAGCTACATGCTCAGCTGAGGGGCATTTTCTCTCAGGCCTCAGTATATAAGGACGTCCTAGAGCTGGGTGACACTGGGTGATATTTGGGAAGAAATAACACAGGGCGACAGGAGCAGGTCCGGGGGTCAGCAGAGTTCTCAGGCCCCAGGGACTGGAGAAGGGCAGTTTGCTCAGGTGTTGATGGGCACAGAGATTCAGTTTGGAAGAGAAGAGGTCTATGGATGGATGGTGGTGATGACAGCAGGACAGTGTGGGTGCACTTAATGCCACTAGACTGTCCACTGAAAAGGATTAAGGTAAAATTTATGTTAGGTAATATATATGTGTATATATATGCATTGTATTATATGTGGGTTGTGCAGTGTGTG